TCGGGAGAGGTATAAAAGACACAGCATCCAGCAAACACTGTCACAAAGGATGAGCCCAAAACAGATGTGGGAAAAATAAACAGCCTGGCTGCTTCAGAATTTATAAAACAGTCCCCAGAGAGCAAACAGGCCTTCTCCCCACTGCTCAACTTCAAGGCCCGTAAAAAAATGCTTCGTGAGAACCCCTCCCCGATGGATTCAGTGTTAGGCTCAACTTCTAACAGTTCACGTGCATTTAAGCCTTAGGAGACCATAGTCCATAAATGTAATTTAAAATAGTTTAATAGTGCTTACATACAGGTGAGAAGTGACATTGAATGGGTGTCACAGATGAGGCGATACACTATATCCCTGAGCATTTTTGTACTATGCAGTGTACATGCTCAGCCTCTCTGACTAAGTTTGACCTGTTCTTCAAAGAGCCTTTCCCAAGAAAAGCACTGCACTGATTTTAAACTTGGGTATAAAGTTGCAAGAGAACAATTCTTGTGAGATGAGCTTGCATTCTTTTCCAAGGAGATTAGCGTGTGAGTCTGCCCTTACTTTACGAAGAGGAATGCGTTCTGGGTTGCCCATAGACTTGCAGGATTAGTGAGAGGAGGGGCTCTCTACATATGCTCCAGGAGCAGGGATGGATAAGGGGTGCTTCCCTTCAGACCTGTTCCATAGCATATTCTGTTCTGGAACTCGTGTGGAACCACCTACACCACAGCCCCCAGAGCCTCCGCCTCACCCTGGCTGCCACCTGCTTCTATGAAAACGGGCACACGCAGAAAAACGAGTTCAGCACCACCTTAAAAATACATGCGACTTTGATGTACCCTTTCAGGACACTGTTGTGCTGAGTCACATTTAGGCTCCATGATCATGGAATTTAGACTTTTGTGAATTAAAATGAGCATGTTTACATCACCTTGGTAGAAACTCTAAAATATTAAGTAAACGGGTATATTTTCTAGGATTCCTCACACAGTTTTATTACGCTGTTATTTTCAGAACTTGTTGTTCAAGTAAACATAAGTATAAAATGGCAAAGTTAGTCCAGAAATCTTTTTGACTGCCCTAAAAAATCTGAAAAACACTCTCATGCTCTTATGCTTGTTCCTTTGCAAGGAACTTGCAAAGGCGGACAATTTTTGCCAGTGAAATACGGAAAAGGCCTGGGTCTCTTTAAAAGGCCGAAAATAGAATGATTGCAGCATAATCCCATAAATCGCAAGTGAACAACAAAACCTTACACCAGCACACAAAAGTCCTGGCTCCCAATGTGATGTTTTAACCCTCTAAGACATTATTCACCAGCCAAGAAATGTGTTGAACTGACAGATTTCCGTGGGACTTTATTACAGATGCATACAAGTATCTTCTGTGAAGTATAAAAAAGAAGTATATGTCCTAAATGTTTCAGTTCTGTCCTGTAGCTTATTTGTAGTTTGTTTTCCCTAATGAATTTCCTTTGAACTGCCTGGTCGTTTAAGTGCACTAGATTTCTTTTGAATATTTTGGTTAAGCGACATGAGATCTGCTAACACCGTCTACATGAGGCACCTTCTGGAGGCTGCACTTTCACCCCAGATATGTGGGTGCTACCGGCAGCAACAGCACCCACCCAGAGGTGCTACTGCACACGCTCACTCTGGGAAGACAGTCAGACACTGTGAAAACAGGGGGCATGTGTGCTCACGGTGTGTTAGCATGGCTAAAACATTTACTTTACGATGCTTCATAAGCATGGTCATTTCATCTGATATTTTCCACACACTAGGAAGAAGGGAGGCCCTGGCTGGTGTGACTCTGTGAATTGAGTGGCAGCCTGTGAACAAAAGGGTCCCAGTTCAATTTCCAGTCAGGGCACATGCCTGGGTTGCAGACCAGGTCCCCAGTAGGGGGCACGCAAGAGGCAACCACACATTGATGTTTCTCTCCCTCTTTTTCCCTAAAAATAAATAATTTTTTTTAAGGAAGGAAGGAAGGAAGGGAGGGAGGGAAGGAGGGAGGGAGGAAAAGAAGGGAGGAAGGAGAAGAGGTGGAGAAGGAGGGAGGGCAGATTTTAATATCCATCTACTTGATATTTTTATGAATAACCTTGCATTTCATCAATTCTTTGAGGTGGGGAAAACAAACAAACAAACCTTTCTCTTGTAACTATAATGGGTTGACTTACAAATAACGCTACAATTAAAATCACCTTAATGGCCTGACCCTGTTTCTTACAGATGAAAAGCTAGACTTTCTAAAAAGCCACAGACGTTATCTTCTGCTTTCAGATTAGTCTTCTCTCTCTCAATCAAGTTAAAATTCTAACAACATAAACTAAAACTTAAAATCTTCCTATTTGAAAATACAAAACATCCTTTGGAATTGTTTTGATTTTTATCCTATTAAAATGAAAAATAACTTAGAACCATAAATTGTATGCAAATAAAATTAATTTTATTGTATTTTGTTCTCACGAAGAATAACAATGAAGTTACTCTAAATACTGTGTGAATGGCAGTTACAGCACAAACCTGCATTTGCACACCTCTTCATAATTTAGAGTTTCAATTAAAAAATTCACATCTAAATTGCTAAAATCATGTAAGCTCATACAACATATACTTAGTTAAAAGTTAATTCACTGATTACCTCCTTTTTCTTACATTGTCTCTTGTAGCTTTTTGGAAAAATATTAAGTCAGTATTTGTGATGTTAATGATACCACCAAATAAAATAAGAATATATATCACAGACCATAGAAATTTGATTATGGAAGTCTCTGGGTAGCTTTTTTATTTTCTACTTTTTAATATAATATACTGAATAAAATATACTAAAATAGTTTGTTTCATAATAACTTGAATGCATTCTTAAGCAAAACTGCCCTGCCATTTAATGTATTTTAAAAAACAAATATTTGAAAAGTGTATCCGCAATGTTCCTAAGGAATGGTTTTGAATTCCCGAGTCCCAAGGAGATGAATTGGCTGTCAGATAACAATGTGCTTCCATCAGATGGACTTGGCAGTTGTAAACAAAAGGAATTTTCTCAGGTTTTCCTCACAAATATGAAATATTTGCTCTCCGCCAACAGCTGGGGCGATGTAAAGAAGTCTTGCATATATATTAGCTTTCATTCAAAATTACGAGTCCCCCTCCCAGTCTGCAACATCTGACAGCATCTTAGCAGAAGAGACATTTGTTCTGAGATAAAGTAGCAGTCCCAGGGAGGTCAGAGGCAAGGACTCGTGCGCACTTACAACTCTAATCCAACCTCAGATTGCTAGGTGTTGGGTTAATAATTTTTAGGAAAAGTTAACTTACTCAAGTCAAAAGTTTAAATGATTCTCTGGAGTGGCTTGAAAAATAATGAGAAAGTGTGTTATATTTCAGTGCTCCTGAAAATATGTAAAACTGTTATATAACCAAAATAAAAACTGCACAAAAAGCCATCAAGTTGCCTTCAAAAATGTGGAAGTTGTTGAATAACCAAAACCTCTAGGTTTCCATGTGGTGACTAATTAAGTCAAATTATTTGTGAAAAAAACTCTTAAAGTTTAAATGATAATTTTAAATTATGTGTTCACCTTATTAAGCATTAAAATATACTGATACTTCTTTTTAAATGAATGAATTAAAAATACCATTGCAAAGTAATTACTAGGAATTTGCTATTCATAAAAGCCTATGAAAGAAATCAAAGGATAACTATTTTCAGTTTTCTATAAAGTAAGAGAACTTATGGACTTTGTTGTGAATTTAATCAAATGCTTACCTTATTTTTACTCCTACCCGCCACACTAGCTCAAAGTGGTAATTTTAAATTTATGTTGAATTCCACAATAATATAAGATTGATCATGGATGAAATTTTATAGTGAAATAAATTAAACATCTGTTTAATGTACTCGAGGCGATAAACATGTACCCTATATTTCCAAACATCTTAGAAGCTGACAAGCAATTTTCTACTTAAAGACAAACACACGGAATTAACTTTTGCCCAGTAATGTGAGTATACTATGCCTAAAGTGGACTTCATATTTCTTTATTTTACATGTTGTATTTTTTACCCAAAGTGCCTATTAAAGTAGGCATGGAAAATTGTTAAAATAATCACTTATACTTTTAATAGAGCTGTATTTGCCCTTAAAATGCCAATCTGGTAAACATGTATTATCAAGACATATGAGACATGGAATTCATATATCAAATTACACAGTGTATAATTTACCCTGATTATTACAGAGATTTTTTACTTTTGTAGATATACACTATAGACATAAAATAATAGTGGTCTTCAAGTAATATACACTACCCCTTACAATTTTGCATCTAAAAATCATTCATATGTATTGTAAAGTCTAAAGGCCACATTTGATTTTGTTGGAAAAAAACAATCAAAGTTAAAATGACCACTCTTTGAGAACACAATTCTTACTTCCACTTCTACTAGTCTTTGCATTATTTGTCCAGTAGAAATATGTAGAAAGTTACTATAAAATAAAATTGTGAATAAAAGCAATTAACAATATTCACCATAAGTGCTAAATGTCAGAAAGCAAATCTTTATCATTATGAATTTAAAATATTTCTTCAAATGTCACTAATGATGCACAAAGCAACAGCATGGAAATGAAAATACTATCAGCAAAAGTTCTTTTACATATGCTCCATAAATTAAATGAAATCACCACCTCTCTTCCTCCATAAGCAAATAAAACAAACTAAATGAACAATAAGAAAACCACACACATCTCTTAGTACCAAAGCAGGGCTTATCAAGGAAGTAAATGTTGCAAGAAAGTAAGTCTGTATCTTTTAGCTCTGTTTCAATTTAGTCCTACTTACATAAAAATTCTACAATGTCTGTTTTTAAATTAGTCTGAAAGCCACTTATTCAACCTCTTATTTCTATAAATTTTCAAAGACTAAGACATGAAATTAAAGACATGGTCTTTGAAGTTGAAGAATTTTTGAAAATACCATTATGTCATCCTAAGTTTGAAGTGAAAACACTTACAGTCTCTCCAGTTCTTTAAGATCCTGGAATGCCCCTCTTTCGATGGTGCTGATCTTATTCTCCATTAGCTGACTGAAATGCAAAGAATAATAGGAGTCTTAACGTCACCCCTCATCAGCTGAGTGCATTTCAGTACCGCAACTGAAAACTTGCAACCTCTTTCCTGTTACAAAGTTAAATCTTGGGCTGGTTTGAGACACAGTATCAAATTTAACAATGATGCATTTGAAAGAAGTCAGGGAGGGGAAATAGCACCCACATCACAAAACTTTCATTTAAAAAATCCTCAAAGAGTTTGTCATAAAATTGACTGGTCAGGACTCTGAACCTTAAACTACAGTGTATTCTAAAGAACAACTGTGGCCCTGTGGTGGCTGCTTTTTTTGGTAAACTGACATTCAACTGAAGTCTTAACTATGAGAATCAGGGTATAGTAATCCATCAAACACATACTTCAACTCACATGCATCACAAACTGGAAAAATGCATAATGGTCAAAGTGTGTCTTTTAAAAAATGAACACTGAACACAGAGAGTGATCAAAAGTGTATTTTTCTGTGCCGTAAATATTTACAAATCTGTGGGTAAAAGAATTTTACATGACATTGCACCTCAAACACTGTTCACTCAGAACTAATTTAACCCACTAATTAAAGACATAATCAAATTACAACATAGTTATAAAATCTACAAAGGTATAAAATATAAATAACAATTCAAAATATGACCGGTGTACTTTTATACAGAAACATTTCCCATCATAAACTCTGTGAAAAGCTGGATTGCTTGATTTTAATTTTAGGAAGTTTGTCTGTGCTGTCTCCTAGAAAAGGATGGACATTTCTATGTTAGCAATAAAAATGCAGACCCACTTAAAATATTTCTACTTAACCTCAGATCCTAAAAGTGCATCAAATATCTCATATTACTTATTCATATTGTGAACGCAATTATTTTTTATTTTTATATATGTAAGGCACTTGGGGTATTGTATTGCAAATACTTGAGGTTATTTCGATAATACTGTTTCAATGGCCTGCGTCCTATCTTAAAATAAAAGCCAACATTTTTATTAAAAATGTAGTACAGTGATAAACTAAAAAAGAAAGGAAACCAAGACCATTTAAATGTTTATGTTTCTGTCATTGGAACAGTCTTTAAAACTGAAATCAGTAAGAATTGAAAATACACAAGTTTAAAAAACAAAAGAAAACTCATCAAAACACAGAAGAAGAACATACTTACAGAACTCTTAAATGTCTAAGACCAGCAAAATCCGTTTTGGTAATCCGTGTGATGTTATTTCCATTCAAATCCCTGAGAGAAAACAAGTAGGAAAATGAAAGTTCCACTTTATTTCTATCACTATGTAGTTAAACAAAGAAAAATATAAGCTACATAAGAACCTGATGATTAAAGATTAGTTCCAATGACTAAAGTAGCTTACACAGAAAAAGAGAAGGGGAGTAATGTGTGAAAGACATTTTTAAAAATGATTCTCAACAAGTTTGCAGAGTCCGTACTTGCTGGCACGTGACAAGAAAATGAAGTGATTATGTTACCAAAAGAAGTTCTCTTTTGTGTGTGTATGGGAGTGCTTTCAACCTTTGTGGGGGGCTTGGTTTTATTTTTCTTTAATCATTTTCATCTTTTCAATTACAGTTGATGTACAACATTATATTAGTTTCAGGTATACAGCCCAGTGATTAGATATTACATAGCTAACTTTGTGATCATCCTGATAAACCTCATGCCCATCTGACACCATATATAATTATTAGAATATTATTGACTATGCTGTACTTTACACCCCCATGACTATTCTGTAACAGCCAACTTGGACTTTCTTAATCACTTCACCTTTATCGCCCATCCTCAGCCCTCCTCCCATCTGGCCACCATCAAAATGGTCTCTGCAACTATGAGTCTGTTTCTGTTCTGCTCGTTCATTTATTTTGCTTCTTAGATTCCACTGTTGATTTATAGTTACTGCCATTTTATTGTTTATATGTTTTATCTTTTAAAAATTTCTTCCTAATGAAGATCCTTTCACACTTCATGTAATACTGGTTTAGTGGTGATGAATTTCAAGAGCTTATTCTTGTCTGGGAAGCTCTTTATTATAAGTCCTTTGATTCTAAATGATAGCTTCCCTAACCTGCTGAAGAAAATAGACACACAAGTCCAAGAAGCAGAGAGAGTCCCAAACAAAATGAATGCACAGAGGCCCACAGCAAGACACACCATAACTGAAATGTAAGAGGTTAAAGACAAAGAGAGAATCTTAAAAGCCGCAGGAGAAAAGCAGGTAGTTACCTGCAAGGGAACTCCCATAAGACTGTCAGCTGATTTCTCAACAAAAACTCTGCAGGCCAGAGAGAGTGGCAAGAAATATTCAAATGGCTGAAAAGCAAGGCCTTACAACCTCAATTTCACTACTGAACTTTTGATTTTATAAGGTATGTGTATGTAACTTCCCAGGTATTCTATTTACTATGACTGTCAGGCACATTCCCATAGAGTTTCCCTTCCAGAAGTGAAATGAATGATATTCTAATATACCCAAGAAGAAATTCTGAAAAATCCAAAAAAGGCCATCCTGGATCAGCAGGGTGGCTAAACTTCCAAAGGCAAGGGGAATGTGAGAGAGTGCTGTCAGAAGAACTGCACTTCAAAGACTCGCGTTTTACTGACTTTCACTCCCCAACAATTCTGCATCTGTATGAAAACTACACTCTCCATTTGGAGCGCAGGGAGCCCCCGCTGTGCCTGTAACGTGCAAACTACTGGTGGGATCAATGATGGAAACAGTATTCAGGCCCCGACTTGTTTGCTCTTGTTTGCTCGAGTTTCAGCACCATGTTCCCTTCAGGAGTCACGGCCCCTTTTCTGGCATCTTAGGTCAAGATCTAAACTTGCCCTGGTTCCAATCACTTCAAGTAAAACCAGGCTTCGCTGTGGTTTAAGTGTTCTCCTTCACAGAAGTAAGTTTTCTCTTACCTTGACTTTCAAATATCGTGTGTTGGGATCTGTGTTTAATGTGTTTATGGTGGCAGAGATAGCATTTTATAAACCAGCACTGAGTAAACTATATTCTCTGAAAAATCTTTAGAGATTCCTTATAGGGATTTTTCCCCCAAGAACCTGAAACTCAATTGCTATTTTGTCTCGTTTTGGTGACTAAGATCGGTGTGTGCTTGAACTTGAAACCGTTCTGTGTAGCCTGAAATGGCAGATGTCGAAACAAAATTTGCATTGCTTTCTCCCCAACCCACTTTCTACACTCAGCAAAGTACCGTCCAGTTACTCCTACTATTGTCGGGATCTTTCACCAGCTATCTGACATAACACGAATGCCTACCCACCCACACCCACCCCACACAAAATGTGGTGGGTCGTATTTTGACAAGACACCCTTCGCAGAGTCCCAACTTGCCCAGCCGCGGGCCTGGGAAGAAGCGAGGCTGGGGGTGGGGGAGCCATTTGCAAAGGCTCAAGGACTCAATTCTGGCCTTTAAACTGAGGGCCAGGCAAATGGGTTAGGTAAGCGCAGCTGAGACGCTGCGGCCCTGCCAGCGAAGACTTGGGGATTGGAGCTAGTCCCCTCCGTGGCGGCAACCCTCACACCCCGGGGCACAGAGACCGGAGTGCTCTCCCCCGTCCCCTTGTCCCTCATCCCCCAGCCCCCGCAACTGCCTGGGCCCCACGCGCAAGGGCGAATGGAGCAGAGCGCGCCCAGGACGCAGGGGCAGAGCCCAGGGGTGGCCTCGGCGATCACAAAGAGAATGGCCTCCATGCCCCACTTCCCTGAACTCAAGAAGCGCCCCACAAGGAGCGCGTGGGCCGTCAACGCCAGCTTTGCGATTACTTCTTCATTAGAGACTCGCGGAGACAGGGAGGAGGGGATGTCTGCGGGCAGTGGAGCACGGAGAGAGGAAGGAAGGGGAGCTGCTGCCACGTGAAGGGGCGCAGAAACTGCCAGAAAGGTGACCGGGGGCACTAGGGCTCCGCAGAAAGAGCCGGAGGGGGCAGCCGAGGGCTGCGAGGTCACCGAAGCGGTCAGACCGGAGTCCACTGGGTCCGGTTGGAGGGGCAACCCTAACTTTGCCTAAGGATGGGACGTGGTCCTCCTCTGCAGTCGCCAGCTCAGACAGGTCTCTAGGGACCCACAGCCGCCCGCTCCTCCCCGGGGCGGGGGAGGGGGGTAGTGGGGGCGGGAAATAGTCGCGGGGTTGCCACTGTGGAGCTGCCGCCTTCCTGGGGCATCATTCCCTCCTCGGCCTGTGAGAAGAGCCCCGGGTGGACCCAGACGGCCCACGACCCCTCCTCCCCTCCCTCCGGACCCAGGAAGGCGACACAAAGCCAGGGAGTGGACATTTCTCCCTTTTGAGTCTCCGCGCCGGTCCCCCTCACCACCAGAGTGGTGACCAGAGTGGGGACTGGGCCCTGAAACCGACGCGCGGATATTGGCATTGGCAAGGTGACTCGGTTTACTGAGTCTGGAGAACAAAGTCGCGGTTTCCTTGCCCCAAGCATCCGCGAGGATTGCCCCCCACTCTCTCCCCGCCTCCTCAGCCCCAGAGAACGCCACCGCACCGCACTGCGTGTGGCGGGACAAGAGCGGGAAGAAGGGACCGAGCGCTGTTGCCAGCGGGCCCGCCCCTCTTAGGGCCGCGACCCCTCCTTGGGCAGCGCCCTCCTGTCCCTTGCCCTCCCGGAGACTTCAACCCCAGGATGCGCATGCAGAGCTAGTGCAGGCTGCCCCAGACACAGGGGCTGGAGCTGCCAGGTCCCTCCAGTCTCCCTGCACGACACAGACGAGGGTGGGGGATAGAGGAAGAGCCCATACTCACAGTCTCTCGGTGTTGCGGGGGATATTCCTGGGCACGCTGCGCAGCGCTAGCCCGTGACAGTCCACTGTGCTGCCCGAGCAAGAGCATTGCGCCGGACACGCTTGAGGCGCCACCTCGTTCAGGATCCCCAGCACTAACCCCAGAGACAGGGACAGCGTCTGCCAGCCGACGCCGAGCATCTTCCCCTGCCTCCTCCTCGCTCGCCAGTGCCGGGGGTTTCTCTTCAGCACGTTGCTTGGCGCAGACCGCGCTGTGGCTGAGGCCCAGTGTCTGGTGCAGGGCTAGCAACCCAGAGTGTCCGGGTAGATGTGCACAAAATAATATGGAAGTAACAGTTCTAATATTCAAGGTAGAAGAGCTGACACAGGTACACGCCTCCCACCACCCCTCCACCCTCCTCCAGCAGGGCAGGCGCTCCTTGGGCAACTTTAGGTCCTGAAGATTAATCGGCCTGGCCAACGCTGCAGGAAGACCCCAGAGCGGCCGAGAGGAGATCAGGCGTCGCAAAGATCAACTTGGCGGTAAAAGAGCTGGAGCTCCCAATAGCAGCGAAGATGCAGGACTCAGTTGCCCAGGGAAGGGGGCTGCTTGGATTCCACGACCCCCTCTGCAAATCCGATTCCAGGGGGGAGGGTAAGAGGCAGAAGAGGGGTTCTCAACAAGAATGGTGGCCTGGATTACAGTGGGCTCTCCGAAGCTAGAAGGCGCAGGAGCCCGGTGTGCCGAGAGTCGAGAGCGCCGGGAGATTGGACATGGCGCTCGGGGGCGCACAAGGCAGCGCGCAGCCCTGGGGGCACCGGGAGGCGCTGCGAGGCGCCCAGCGTGGCTCACTCACGCGTCTATCCCACTGGCCTGTGGCTCCTTCACAGCCCCGACAGCCCAGGGTGGTTTGCAAATACACATGCACTTCACTGAATGATGTTTCCGCAATCCCGCCTCCCGCCGGGCGTCCTTGGCGACGCTCCACACCCGAGCCTTCCCGGAGGTCAAGCAGAAAAGACAAAAGGGCAACGGGCCACCTCAACCGGCTTGGATATCCACTAGTCCCGACTCTGGCAGAGGAAATCCAAGAGGCCAAGTTGAGGATGAGAGCTTCTGCGAGGACTGCAGGGGGCTGTTCCAGGCCCGCCTGAAGGAGTGGAAAGGTCAAGGTGGAGGTGTCCGCGTCCTGGGTCCTGCCGGAGTGACCTGGGGAGATGGCGAGGTGGCAGTTGGGCCAGTGAGATTCGTTACCCCGAAGAGAGCCCAGGAGGCAGCTGAATGGAAGTCCCGTGCGCGCGCTTGTCAAACCCTCTCGTCTCCTGGATACAAGCAGACACCTGATGGCAAAGGTAGAAGAAACAAGAACGGGCTCCCGGCTAGGCGCAGCCCCTCAGCCGCCCCTCCACAGCCTCCCACAAGTGGGTCCTCCTTCTCAAACTGCAGGAACTTTTCCCAGGCTTCGAATCCTTCCAGCCACAGCCACCGCGGGAGTTCTCCTGCCGTCACGATGCCCGGCTCCTGGCGCTGCACCTGACTCGGCGTCCACAGTCCTGGGCAGCTCGTCTTCTTCTCGCCCCTTCACCTCGCCCGGCTGCTTCTGCTCCTCCCTCTCCAGGGAGGGAGATGGGGGAGAGGAAAGGCAGGGACTCGGTGGCTCTGCTGACTCCCGAGCTCCTGGCAAGTCTCTAAACAATAGGAAGGACGAGGCAGCCCTGGTCTCTTTCGGCTGCAGAAGGTGGATCGCCGGTGTAACTGGAGTTGTCCACTCGGGCCGCCTGGTGCTCAGCGCAGCAGAACAAAACCTGCCCCGCGCCTCCGGAGAAGGTTTTGGGGGCCCCGGACGCTCCTGTTTCTGCTCAGCAGTCCCGCCGCACCCGGAAAGCTCTGCAGCTCCTGCCTGCTCCGGGGAGCCACGACGCTCCCATCCCTCGCCGCTGCCACCGCCTTTTTTTAACCACAGTCTGCGGCAGCCACCGCCGCCACCACCAGCTAGCGCAGTCCTCACGCTCCCCAAATAAATAACCCCAAGTCAGAAGTTAAGCCGGCGCCAGCCTTATATACCCACCCAAGCCCCCACCCCCTCGGCCCCGCCCCGAGCCGCCCGGCACCGCCCACTGGCTGCGCGCTGGGAGCCCGCACCTCGCCGTGGAGAGGTGAGGCCGGGCTGTCTGGGCTGGGCGGGGGTGGCAGCGCGTGGCGCGATTCCACGCGCCTCCGCTCGAGCCCTTGCTCCCACGCGCAGTAAAGTTTGCACGAGGAACGAGGTTCCCAGACCCCCTCCCGGGGGCCGCAGAGGTCTCGGAAATGGTGGTTTGCAGTGGGGCAACGGGGAGAGGGCAGCTTTGAATGCGACTCCCCAACAGCCCCGCCAGTCGGTGCCTCTGCTGCAGCTTTTGCCAGGCGATCCTAAGGGGGCTGCTCTGTGTTTGCCGCGCAGCGAGACAGGGAGAGCGAGAGAAAGAAATTATGATTTTAAATTTTTAAAAAATTCTACCGAAATAGATCTCCCTGCGCTCACAGACACACACTTGTGTATTTTGGGGGACCTCAAAGTTCAGAGTTTTTCCAAGTTGGAAAACGGTGTTTTTCAACCTTCTCACCAGTCTTCCCATTTCCAAAATACCTCCTTCCTTTTAACCCTTTCCTTATAACCGCACATTTGACAACACCCTGCGCAGCCGAGGTCTGGAATTTAAAATACACTCACAAAACTCTAAGGCCTTGAATGTGTGTGTGATTTTACTCACTTAGGAGAGAAATAAATAAATTCCTAGCAACACACACTGTACCAGAAGGTTTGCTTTATTTCAGGGAAGTTACAGATATTTTTTCCTCACTATATTTTGGAAGAGAATTTCCTTGTTTCTTTTTGTCTTTTTAGTGTGATGTGTGTCTGGCAACTGCTCCCGCTCCCCAGCAACCCCCCCCCCCAACAAAAGCAAAGTCACCGGTGGTTTGAATTGACGTATAGATGGGTCAACAACTTTGCGTGAATTTAAATGCCTCACCTGGTCCTTCCTTGTCTCATTCCATCAGGGCTTGCATGGTCTCACAGTGTTACGATTACTGGTATAATTATCTGTCACCCACTTGAAAGAAAGAGGATCTGTCCAGATCCTTTGTTATTTCCAGCATTTAATAATGTGCTGGACACATAGTAGGAACTCTGAAATGGACCGATTTCTTTAACACAATAATACACTCAATCTGAAATTTCTCTAATATCCCAGTTAACTTCATGCCTACCTGAGCTTTTCCAAATGTCTTTTCCTAATGGCCACCTCTACCTATGTCATTTTGCCTGACCTTGAAAACTTGAAGGCCATTTGGAGGACATTTCCAAAGATGGGCTACTCATTAGATTAACTGAATTGAAACTTGGGATGCTTATGTTCATGTCATGGGTATATGCTGACTGCTCTGTTCTTGTAAAGACTTCAGAAACATTTAGCATTTATTGACTGATTTGTCCTTCTGGAGTTTAGCTTCAAGTTCTGTTATGTAACTTCCTTAAGAAAGAGAAAGTGGAAGACAGCAGTCACATTTTCTTAAAAGGGAAATTAGGTGCAGAACAAGTACGTGTCCCTGATGAAGAATTCTTCCACCCCTCCCCATGCCCTTCTACCCCCTGTGAATTTTCTTCAGCCTGCACCAGTAAATTATGTGGCTGAAATATGTTTACTACCACACCGACTTCTTAATTTCACAACTTTTATCCCTCGGCAGCAACAAAATATGTTTATGTTCAACTTTATTCACCACAGAGAGTCATTGTTCCATGTTTTAATTGTAAAAACATATCCTGCATTTCATTATCCATCAATAATGCTATTTGTATCATTGCACAATGCAAGTCACAGACATGGGTTCAAGTTCCATTTTTTTTTTTTTTTCTGGTCCACTTCCCTTCTGCGTAAAACAGAAAAGAACTGAAAATAGCATTAGGGGTGATGAGCCTATAGAAACGTTTTTTTTAATTTGATGCAAATTTAAATAAGAAGGTATGTCTGATGGATTTCATTAACAAAAAAAAAAGGAAGACTGCAACTAATGTATGAGAGACGTGGCACATTAATTTCTTTGTGTCATCAGCTTTTCAGATAATAACCACAAATGTACACATGAATGACCAGATTTCTCATTTTTACAAATCGTATTGTAGTAGTTCTTCATTATGACTGAACTATGATTTCTGGTGGCTTCACACTGCGTCAATACTGTTAACGTCTAGGTCTTAATTCTAGGTTGTTCCCAAAGGAGTTCTGAGATGCCCTCTGCCTGTTACACTGGTCAGAAGGGAAGCCTCTTGTGAGGCCCCTGGCCACCACAGGAGGTCTCTACAAATCCTGACCTGGATTAACCAGAAGTGGAAGCCACTAGACTCAAAATTCAAGTCTCCTATTACCTTAAGGAAAAAAAAATTGTTACTAAAATAATTTAGAAAACAATTTAGACACTTAAAAACCCATATAGTTTTTTTTTAAATAAAAAATAACATTCTCTCAATTTGCATTTTCCTTGGAGAATAAGAATTTGTGCAATGGGGATATGTGGGAAAAAGGAAACAAGAGAATTGATAAAGAAAAGAGGTAAAAATGACTAAAAGCAAAGGTAAATAACAGTAATAGCATCGATTAAATTCGTGAAACTTACAGAATAATTCCATCACTACTTTCACACTATATTCTTTCATAGTTACAAAAGATGTTCGTGTTAATTATAATTTTTCATGCTATCTGTGTACTGAAAATACAGATACGGAACCCCAGCATCACTGAAGATTAATACTGAACTAAAATAGGTTGTATTCCTTCTGAGTGCCAAGCTGCTTGATAGGGTTAAAACCCCAAGTATAATTCTAAACGGTTTCGGCTTTGTGTGCAGGTGAGATGCCGCTCTTTAGCCAGGTCTGATCAAGTGGCAGAGCTGACTGACACCAGAAACCGGGTCCTCTCACCTCAAATCTCAACTGGTTCTCCTGCAGTCACCTCTGTCTATAGAACCTCTGGAACTCCCAGGGGCCATGGAATATCGAGTTGCTCAGAAACTGTCACCCTCAGGCAAAGCTCGTTCAACTCTGTGGACACACTGTTTTCACAGCAGGGGAGAAAGTGTACCCCGGGCACGAGCCCACCAAGGACATTGAAACCCAACCAGCTTCTGCAGCTGGCTTAAATTTCAAGATGATTCTCTAGGG